ATATCTTATTATGTGAATGTGTTGTTGAAATTAAGTATAATAAAAAAAAAAGAGTTTAAAAATAATACTTGTCAAACAAGGCTAAATAATATACGTATTGTCATATACGAGCTAACCCGAAGCTCTCAATGCCGACGATGCAATGGAATAAAACACGTTACATCCACAAAAGAAGGAAGGGAAAATTACCAAAAACCAGGCCTTTAGTTTGAGTTTTTAAAAAATAAGGTTTTCACTTTATTTTTCCATTTTTCAGGTTTTTATCATTTTAATAAATTAAAACCTTAATTCTATTCAAACCCTAGATCTATCAATTTATCTCCACCATCTCCCTCCCTCCACACGCCGCCTGCTCCATTTCTCCCCTNCCACCACAATCGCCTGCCGCCCCCTCCCACCACCACTACTACCACCACAGACCGTCGCCTCCTCCCCTTCTCCTTGCCAGTCGGCGTCGCCTCCTACCCTTTATCCTCCCTCACTCCCTGCCTCCTCCCTCCACCACCCCCGCCCCTTCCCTCCCCTTGCTGCGATCAGTAGCGTGACGCTACTGTGATTATACTAAAGGAATCGTTCATTCGAGATCTAATGTTACTCTTCCAGTTATCCGTTACACATAATTTAATCACGTTTTCTGTTTAATTGATTTGTAGATTTGATGTTATGGTGGTTTGACTATTACATAGTTAAATTTATTTTTTGAAAAAGCCTATTTTACGTTGACGATTTATATAGATCTTTAAATCCGATAGTTTCTGAGTATTCTTTATGGATTTAATTTTTCTATTGATATAGAATATACCTATGGGTAACCATTGGTTTTAATTTAAAAGACAGATCTTCAATTTGGTAGTGGAGTGATTTATCTAAGGTTTATGGGTTATGAGTATCAAATTCTATGGAATCTAGTGAACTGTCTTTGTTTTTATTTTCTTTCAAATTGAATTTTTCTGATTATACCATAGTGATTTTTTGGTTGTGATTTTACGGTGGTTTCTCTTTTGTGGTGTGGCAGATCTCTGCGTGCGGCTGTTGTTGGTGGTTGGTTGTCGATGGTGTTATTGTTGGTCGACCAACTATTGGTGGCGATGGCGACGTCGGGCGGATGAGACGAAGAGTTTATGTGACCAACTATTTGGTCGATCCGTGACCAACTATTGGTGGTGTTTTGGGATTGGGGGATGGGTGTTGGGTGTATATGACCAACTATATCAATCCGTGACCAAGTATTGGCTGTGTATTGTGGATTGGGGGACAGGGGTTTGGATGATTTAACTGCGATCTTAAAATTTGTTAATCTATGACAAAAAATGTAATATATGACTAACAAATTTGGAAATATGTAACTAACAAATTTTCTTAACTTGTGACCGAAAATTAAATTTTAACTACTTAATAAGATATCCGTGATCTTGAAATCGGAGCAGTTATCGGAATTAAGTGGCGGCCAATGGTCACCGACAATTAGTCGCCAGAATTAAGCGCGACCGATGAACAGTCGTCTAAGTAGTCGCCGGATCATGAAAAAATCTGAGTTTTGTAAATTTAAACGTTGGGGCCTGCTTTTTGATTTTGTGAAAGAAAATCCCCGACCCATGAATTTTTCCCAAGAAGGAACCCACAAAAAGAGCATGCAGCCAATAACTCTAGGATCGAGGCCCAATATAGGAAGATCCATGGGCCAAACTGATAAGCACTAATGGGCACGCCCCATGGCCCATATGCTTAGAACTTGTACAGTCCATAATGTTAACAAAGCACCGTTCATCGTGTGCTGTGCTCTATGATCATAATAGTGTATAAATGTATAATTACCAATGGGCCACTTATTTTTCATAAATGTTGCAATCATGTCCCCTATCTTTTAACATCGTGTGCTGGTATCCCACCTAATAGAAAAGTCTTATTTTTGTGTTTGGCACCCATTTTTGGAAAATTATAAATTTTAGAATAGTGATTGATGAAGAATATTTGATTAAAAAGTAATGAAAAATTTTAAATTTGTGTGTAATATTATTTTATTCGAAAAATGTGTCATTATAATTAAGAAAAAAAAAAATCAATGGGCCAAAAACCCTTGAAATGACCACGTGACACACTGAAAATTTGAAATTGTTAAAAGAAAAAACAGCATTTTAGCGAAGTTACAATTTATTTAAAAATTATTTTTCTTTAAACTTATTTTTAATTATACATTATTTCAATAAAATATTTTTGTACTTAAATTCATTTATCACTTCTAAACAAAAACCAAGCTCTAGTTTGATTCGATCCTCTATAAAGTAATTTTTTTTTTTTTTGAATGTGCAGTAAAAAAAATAGAATGAAAAATTATGAAGAATTGTGGAAAATGATTTTCAAGAATTTGTTGTTTAAAATAAACGTCAGAGATAAGTTATGATAATTAAAATCAAGTGAAGGTTCTATTTGAACAATTTTACCTTTTTAGTTACACATATGAAGAGTTTGTTTAATCCCCATATTTTAGAAAAATATATTTTGTAATAGTATTTTTTAGAGAACGTGTAGTTAAAAAATAGAGAAAAAATTTGAATTTATATTTAATATTATTTTATTAAAAATATGTAATTGAAAATTAAAATAAATTTTCAAAAATTGGTTCTCAAATTGGGTGAAATGCTGGGAGACTCTAAAAGAGTTGACCCATAAATTTTCTCACACGTACGAATCGAGAGCCTCTCGATCACGCCTTCGAATTGTGAAGGATTGGGGCTTCACCAAAACCCTAGTTCGTAAAACCTCAACTCGTAAGCTCTCCACTTCTTCATTCCTGTTGATTTCCTCTTAGTTCGGTCTTTCTTCGAAATCTTCATCGGTTTCTTTCGTTATTGTCATATTTCTCCTTTTACATTATTGTTTTTTCCCTCGAAAATGAGGCATCGTTGTTCTTTTTGCAGGTTTTTTTGGTTGTTTTGAAATTCCTGAACTCAGTCGAAGATGAGGTCAGTTAACTGGAACTTTACTCTAATTTTTATGTGTATATGTTTCTAGTTTTCCTTGGTAAGTAAAACCCTTGGTTGAATTTATCGGACTCCAGAGACTGTTTATAGAACGTCCAAATTTTTATTTTGGAACTTCGCGTTAAGGAAAGAACTACTCATTATTGGTAATAGGGACTGGAGTTTATCGATGTTTTGGTGTTTCTGTAGTTCTTACTGTTTTTTAATTTGGCCGTGATTAACAGTCTTTTTCATTTTTTTTGGCCATGTATTTGCAGTCGGCCAATGGAAGAGGATGCCCCTGTAAGATATACACTACTCTTTTGCTTTTCTCCTGTTCTCGTGATATTTTTATAAGCAGATTTTGGATTGCTCTATTTATGATGATATTTATAATTTCCTGATGCATAATGCTGGGCTGCTTGTTCAAGTTTGTTTTTAGATAATGATTGAAGCATGAATGTTATTCTAGAACTCACTAGCTAATGTGTCTAACAAAAATACTTATTTCCCTATTCACCATTTTATTTTTTCACCCAAAATATCATAAAATTCTTCTGTGAGTATTTCATCCCAGTTCCACACCCATCTTTCTTGAAGATTTTTTTTTTCATAAAAAAACTTTCAAAATTGTTCTTAAACATTTGGTTTCTTTTGTCTACAAGGAACTTAGCACAAACAAAAGTCTGTAGATTTTAATAAACACAAACATGAACCTTAGTGTTCCTGTAAACAAACAAAAGAAAAAATAAAAAATAAAGGTTCTGTTTGTTTGTAGCTCAGCTTGTATACAGCAAATTCTTAATAACAAAACTAGTTTGAAATCAGATTTCTTTGACATAAATAGTCTTATTTCTCTTTCTATACATTTGGATTAAATACCAGGTGGAATCTCGGGACTTCATTGTTTACTATCTTCTGGATATTTTTCCCATAATTTTTTTTGATAACATTGCACTTTCTATTACTGAATCACTTAAGTAGTTGATACAGCATTGTGACTCTGATGTATATTGTATGTTGCGAATTTGTTTGCTTTGAATGTTAATAACGTGGGAATGGGCTTTTTCTTCTGGCTAGAAGAAATAGGGTATGAGGCTAGGCCCCATGTGTTCTCTATTTCTGCCTTTAATAGTTGTTTAAAAGGCGAAAAAGTTGTCGAAGCTGTTTGGTTTAGTTTACTTCTTCTTTGACCTCAAAAATTAGTTCTTGTTAATCAAAACCTAGTATTTATGCATTGTGTAGATGTCTTGCTCATTGGGTGGCTAAAAATTTTTGATAGTTACTGATAAGATTTTTATGTGTCTACATTAGATACATTTCAGGACTGGCATCATTTCTCAGCACTTCAACATTGATTTTTGTCAATCATGGTAGCAGTTAGGTATGGCACTGGATAAAATAGAAGGGTAGATTTTTAATATATCTACTCTTTGGTCGTGGAAATCAGTCCTATTTTGAGCGAACTGTTGGAAAATTGGAAACATTGTTACGATTCTAGGCTATCGTATTGAAATCAAAAAGTTCTGGAGTTGAGCTTGTACCCTACTCCATCAAAGGGCAATAAATTGGTTTTGTTGTTTGGATTTTATAATTTCACCAACTTTATAAGATACTTTTTGTAACTTGTTGTTTTGTTATGGTACTTACATTGTAAAACAGTTGCACATTTGGTACTATAGAAGCAGATGCATTGGATTTTAAGAAAATGAAGAAAGATTATATTATTTGCTCTTTGGTTTTAAGGGTGCTTCTAATTTCTGTTTTTAACTGTCTATAAATTGGTATGGACTTTGATCTGATCTTAACATCCATATGTTAGCATCGTGGACGCATGAATTTCTCATTTGCACATGAAGGTTAATGAATCTGCCTTTGTAGTGAGATCTAATGAATCCATTTACATTTTTGCCTTTGTAGTGTTGAATCCATGTAATTTTTGCCCTTAATTCTTTAGAATCAGATCTACTTACGTAAAGCTTATATTGACAGACAAAGAATGAAGAAGAGGAGTTCAACACTGGTCCACTTTCTGTTCTAATGATGAGTGTTAAAAATAACACACAGGTATGCACTTTCTATGCACGTGCGAATCATATCTTCTTTTCCGATTAAATTGTGTAAACTATTGAAATATCTGGATTTGTTACTGGTGTTACCCCTTGGAAACAAGGATAGAGATCCCTCTTATTACTCTGTATTGTAATTTGAATCTTCAAGCTTCACTATATCCCTGGTCTGCTCTTTTGTACCCTCCGTCCCTTTTGGTTGAGGGTGTTGATGGTGGTAAATCTAAGATATTAAATTCATATGAATCTATGTGCAACTTAAATTTTTTTTTTTCCCTTTATTCTCCTAGAGTTATGCGCTAATTGTTTATGGGCTGCTAGGTCCTTGTCAACTGTAGGAATAACAAAAAGCTTCTTGGCCATGTGAGGGCTTTTGATCGCCACTGTAACATGGTGCTAGAAAATGTTCGGGAAATGTGGACAGAGGTAGGAATTTTGCTGGACTATTGTAGTTTTCTTTGCTATGTTGACTTCATTCTAATATCCTATTTCATCACTAAGTTTAAATTGTTGATGTTTCGTGGTGTCTTTACGTAATCATATGCCCTTTTACAGGTGCCAAAGACTGGCAAAGGCAAGAAGAAAGCTCTTCCAGTTAACAAGGACAGGTTTATCAGTAAGATGTTCCTTCGCGGGGATTCAGTTATAATTGTCCTCAGAAATCCCAAGTAAGAGGTATGAAAATTTCACGCCTTCCCTTATTTCAAGAATTTCATCTGACTGAATATCAAAAGATTCATATTTGCTAGAAATTTTAATTTCAAAGGCATCTGTTTTTGTTTATGTTTTTACATCAAGCAATTTACCAAGTGAAGTCGAACTTTTTTCATCACCTGAAAATTTTTATCAATAACTTGCAGTTGCACGCTTGCATCTCACAGCATTGAGTAACAATAATTTAATGGTGTTTATTGTCGAATGCTGATTGGATTCCTTCTTTTCTGGCAGTTGTTGCTGATTAATTGAGTTTGCTCCCTTCAGCCTGGGTAGGAGTTATAGATATTCATCATTCATTGTACATGCATATATTCCTCTTAAGCTAGTAAATAATTGTGATTTTCTCGCAAGTCACAACCGCTTCAATTACTCAAACCACAAATCATCTCAGTTCCCTATGTATAGGCATTTGTTTAACACGTTTACCTGCAATTAAGTGCTCTGGCAAACTATCTTCCCTAGTATGATATCAACCAATTTGTTTTACCATATTCATTACCCAACTTCTGCACGTCATTTCTAATTGCTTTTCTATGTTCCAAAATCCCACCTTCCTGTTCCCCTATCTTTATAACTGAAGGAAAATATCATGGTTTAACAGACATTTATATATATGATCTCTGGGAAACCTGTCTTTTGTTTCTTGATAGAGTAATGGTTTGAGGTGCACTATAGCATGTTGAGCTTTACAATCATTTCTCATTATCATTTTATGTTATAGTATATTGTGGTGCTTTTGTAGTATGTTAAATGCTTTCATATGATGCAGGTAGCAAGCCCATACATGGAAGGGTGGATCTACTTCCGATTCTTGAAGAATTTAGCCGATGGTTATCATTTTGAAGTTCTTGTTTATTACGCAGTTGATGTATGACATGGAATTTTTAATTACTCTATTAGCTTAATATATGTTGGATAGACTTTTAACCCTTCATCACCGTGAAATATGAACCTGTAGTTTCTATGCAACAAATTAAGATGAAATCAATGTGAGCTGTTGCATTAGCTTTCTATCAGCCTGGTTATCATGTGCTCAGTTGGATGTTCCATTAGTTGTCTGATTATTGTTTTTCACCGATTTCTTGTAATCTGTAATATAGAGTTTGGCTGCATACTTATCTTAGTTAGGAATACCGAATATATGATAAAATAGATTGTAGAATAAAAACTATACACTGGATTACTCTACAATGGATTAATAAACTCGAGCATATTTTTTTTAGATTAGATGAAAAATAGGATTCTTATATTTGTACTGGCATTTAGTTTGAATATGCGTCAGGTGAGACAAAATTCAGATGGTTTTTAGGTTTGCAGTTAGGAAATTAGCAATAGAATTCAAATAAACCAATATGCAGGCAACATAAGGTGAACTGCTTTCATTTTCCCACGAATGCTTAGTAAGCGAAATGCACGTTTTCGAGCTATGTAAGTAATTAACCAATGCACATCTTCAAACACAGTTACAAGTAGAAATTACTGGATCTGGATGAGACTAATACACTAAACAATGAAACTATTTAGAGTGCACCAGCAACATTGAAATGAGAAATTGATTCATTGCCAATGTAGAATACAAGAAAAAAATAATAGCATTCAAGTTCTTTAGGTAGCTGCAAACCTGTCTACTCCAGAAGTTCATAAACGCTAAGACAAAAACCAAGACTATACTTATAAACTATTAAACTAGAATATAGGATCGGGGTGAGGCAGGACAGGGCTGGGCCTCTGTAAGCACTTCTGCCGTCCTAGTTCGGCATCAGGGACAAGGACTTGTCTCCCAACAGTACATTTCCTCTCGTAAATTTTGAATAATAGGCCACTGGATTATGTTGAGGATGTCGAGGAACCACGTTCCTTGTGGTCCCCAAAGATGCGTTGACTGAAGTCAGTGACCATCATTGGGAGACCCTTACGAAGAGGCACTTTAGGCTCCCAACCCAGCAACTCCTTCGCCTTAGAAATATCAGGCTTCCTCTTGTGTGGATCATCCTCTGTGTTGGGTCTGAATTCTATCTTAGCATTAGGATCAATTGTTTCTTGAACCACCTGTTCAAAACGTAAAAAATGTGCTCAATTCACTCTGAATTTATCTATGCAAAATTAAATATCGTATTGCTTGTTGATAATGGAATACCCAATTACATTTCTATTTTCATCTCTTCTAGGACGGTAGAATTGAAAAGACTCAACCACGAGATTACCTGAGCAAGTTCAAGCATGGTGAATTCACCCGGGTTTCCAAGATTGAAAGGTCCAACATGTTCTCCTTCCATCAAGCGCATGAGCCCCTCAACCTGCCAAATCAAATCAAAATTTACTTTCCAATAGAAAAAATGTCTTTTGAACTCAAACTTTATATATACACACTCTTTTTGCACTTTGCTCATCTTTTGAGAACATTTACACGCATAAAGTTACTCTTTCCTTGACCAGAATAAATAAACAAATTAATAAAGATTGTGTTTGACTAAAAAATCATTAATATCACATTAAAGTTGTTTTTGGCAAAGATAAAAGACTTCAAAAGTGGCCTTACGGCCCACGTTAGGATTATATCATTTCACAATATCTACAAGGGAATAAATGTGATCCGCTCAAAACTTGCACATAAATTCAATATTAACCTTTTTAAATTAAATAATTTTTTTTTGCGAAAACAGTAATTAAGAAATCCGCATATATTCAGTAATTAAAAATAAATTTTAAAACGTTTTACCAAATCAGAAACATATTGAAAACTCCTTGTCTGCTTTCCATCACCATAAACAGTCAATGGCTCCTTCCTCAAAGCCTGCAAAAGGTTAATAGGATTTAACTATACATAATAACTCAAATTGTAATTTTTATAATTCTACAGTCGGAAAAAAGTTTACCTGGGCAACAAAGTTGCTAACAACACGACCATCGTCAATGCACATACGAGGTCCATAAGTGTTGAAGATCCTAGCAATTCTCACCTGTTGTCATATTACATTATAAAATTTGAATAGACATTCTTGAATAACAAATCTATAAAATTTTATTTAAAGAAAAAAGAGAAGTGACCTCAACACCAGCTCCTCTGTGATAATCCATGGTCAACGTTTCAGCAGTGCGTTTTCCCTCATCGTAACAGCTTCGAACGCCTGTCCCCAACAAATCACATTTATAGGTCAGTCATGGACCTCGTTCCATTATGTGAAATGACACATCTGCCCCAAACTCTCCACTGGAAGGATCATGCTATTCATACATGGTGGTTTACACCCCCATTTACTCGGGCCCACCTGCCCCCCTCACAATAGGGGGGTCCACGATTATTTTATTTATCATGGGCCCTCCCTTCATATGAGGGGAGTGTAAACGAGGGCGTAAACTCCCGTGTACGAATGGTTTTACCCCCACTGGAAACACGTTTCTTTACACGCCAAACCACTCACCAACCTGGTACCCATTGGGTTAGCATTGAAAACATGAGCTACAAAACTTGACCGATTATAAAAAATGAGCCCAATGTGGGTTGTCAATCATGTTATCACTTTAACAGTCTTGTATTATACACAAACTGAAGGCAATTTTCCACACAGGCAACGACAGACCTGATGCCCATTTGACTAGATCGTAACCCATGTTTGAGACACATTCTTTCAAAATGCATTTTTTCAAAACTCATTTTTAAACACACATTTTTCAATAAAATAATATTTTTCATCACATCAATAATTTTTAATTACTTTTTAATCACATATTTATCATAATATCACTATTTAAAATACATTATTTCCTTAATAATATCTATCAAGAACACCCGTAGTATTTAGAGGCGAGTATAAGAAGAAGAACTGTGCTACAATGACTGGGTCGATGACTGACCCAAAAAAAAGGGGCCGAGATGACTTCATCTCAGCCGTTGATTAGAATTGCAACAGTAAAAATCAAGGGCACATCGGCCCTGTTTTTTGGTCGGTCTTACACTAGCATTTTTGTAAGAAGAAAATAGTTGACTGGACAATGCAGAACGGGTCCAGGTCAAAAAGGTTACAAACCCACCATCACTACACGTGGGACGACCCTTCATAAATCTGTAACCAATGAACGTACGATTCGGTTTCTTAATAGCCTGGCAGGGCTCACGTTAGACTCGCGCCATGTGGGCATGCTAACGTGAGCCACACCGCGGGCTTTGTCGGATCCCATGTCTCAGATTCCGGCATTATTTCGCCTATGCAAAAATCATGATTCGAATAGAAAATGAAAAATTGATTAATTCAGACGCACCTATTGGATTGACGTTGCCCCAGTAGGTTTCGACTTGCGGGTGTTGCAATGGATCGCCGTACACCTCACTGGTACTCGTTAGCAAAAACCGCGCACCGACCCGCTTCGCCAGCCCCAACATGTTCAATGTTCCTACCACATTTGTCTTGTGCAAAATCGGAATTAAGGAATTCATGGCCTAATTCTAATAACATTAACATAAACTGAAATAAAAAATTAGAATTAAATCGAAATGGTATTGGAGTGAAGGATATGATAGTCTTGACAGGATTGTGCTTGTAATGAACAGGAGAGGCGGGACATGCGAGATGGTAGATCTGATCTACCTCCAGTAGGAGAGGTTCGACGACGTCGTGTCGAATGAGCTCAAACCTAGGGTTTCCAAAGTGATGCATGACGTTCTCTTTCCGTCCGGTGAAGAAATTATCCACTACGATCACGCTATCGCCTCTGTTAATCAGACGGTCCACCAGATGGCTCCCAACGAACCCAGCACCACCAGTTACGACGATTCGCAAACCCTTCCTCTTCAGCCCCAGAGGGATTTTCCCGCCGGAATTGAAGGATGGGAACCTGGCGACATGGCCGTTCTGATATATGATCCGGTGGGGCTGGGTCGACTCGGAGGTGAGATAAGAGTGGGAAATGGGGGTGTTGGAGGAGGGGAGGAGGGTGAATACAAGGGTGGCGATGGCAATGCCCACAAAAACGAACACCAGGCGTTGCTCCCGGAGCATGTACCGAATCGGCCTAATCACGCTCAGCCACGGTTTCGGCGGCTTAGGTGAGTATGCATCCTCCACCGGCTGCGTTTCGTGCCCTCTGAAAATCAGCTCAGATCCCATCTATATATGCACTCGACTCGAGTTAAGAAAGAAAAAGTCTGGGTGAATAATGTGTGGAATGCAGGAGCGAGTATATATATATGTATATTTTGTTGGGGGTGGGGGTGGTGGGTAAATGGTGGAATTGAAGGAGCTGGGATGCGAGGAATATTCGAGGGGGAAATGAATACTTGGCGCGTGGAGGCCACGGGGGAGTGGTGTCTGATGAATTTTCAGCTGAGTTTAGAATAAATAGGTCCGCGAATTGGAGTGATATTACGTAAATAACATTATGGTTTGTTCGAAAGGTAAGCGTTTGAAATGTGTGGTGATTGAATGGTAATTATGGATCGGGAATGTTCTTAATTGTGATCTGCCAGAGAGCCAAGTGACAAAAAATTGTATTGGGTGTTGAAAAAATAAACCAATTGTATTGTGGTACTCTAATTAACCTAACGAAGTCTTACGAATAAAAAGGTCATATCGTGTGTGTATATTGTACCAAAACTAAATCTAAATATTACAAGAAAGAGAAGATTTTTACCTTAAAAATACCCAGAAAAAGAAATTCCTCGTGCTTCCTTGCAATTCAATATATTTCTATTAACAGCAAAACCAAAACCTTCAAGGGTATGGATCAATTCAGAAGTAGCTTGAGGATCCAACTTGGAATTTTCCATTTTAATTCTTATTCTACACAGTAAACACATGCTCCTATTTTTTACCAAAACAAGAAAAAAACGTAATTAATAAAAGATTGTCGGTCACATAAATTTTCAATGCAATAGATACTTTTACAAAAAAAACTTTTAAATCTGACAAGACATTTGTACATTTGCAAGGTACAATAAACACATCAAGTTTGATATACAACTTGAGGACTTAAAACGTCCATGAATGATGAATCACATATTATCTACAATGTTGTTTACTTAAATTTAACTGTGAGGAAGTAGATGGGTTCGTTTTCAACATTAAAAAAAAAAAGAGGAGAGACAAAATTCAATTCACTAACCTCATTTTTTTTTTTAATGTTTCATTCTTTACTTGCCTAAGCAATATAATTCAATAATATTTTTTGATATTCCCTTCAACAACAAGTGGTTTTAAAGGCCAGAAGGGGCCAATAGAAAGAGCCAAAGCAGCAAAGCTACTTTAAGGCAATTTGGTGGATAGGTCTTTGAGTGATTTCAACGCCCCTACAATACAAATAAAATATTAGGCTGCTAAATAGCTTAATAATTGACCTAATTTTTCCAAATTTAAAGTTCAGTAAAAAAAATAAAAAAAATCCCTTTCCTGTTGGCTTTAAAAATACATTAATTAATTCGTTAGTAATTAAACAAAAAGGACCTTTTAAATGCAAGAGCGTACAATTTGGCCTTCCCTTGAAAAATGCAACCCATTCAACGTTAGCGAGTGAATTGTCCAAATAGTCGCTGAACTTTACGACATGCTTCCAAAAGGTCACTGAACTTTCAAAATGACCCAAATTATCATTAAATTTTGTAGAAGATTTTCACTAGGTCATTAAACTTTAAAAATCACCTCATTTATCACTAAACTTTGTAAAAGGTTTTCGAAGGATCACTAATTCAGTGATCTCCTAGAAAATATTTTGCAAAATTTAATGATCCCGTAGAAACCATTTGTAAAGTTTAGTAATAAATGAGGTGATTTTTAAAATTCAGTAATCTCGTGGAAACTTTTTACAAAGTTCAATGATGACTTGAGATATTTTTAAAGGTCAGTGACCCATTGGAAGCATGACTTAAAGTTCAGTGACAATTTGAGCAATTCACTCAACCTTAGCTAATGAAAAACAATAAATAATAGCCAAAATCGTGCTGCTTTTGCCGAGAGGGAGGGAAGCTTTAGTGGATGGACAAGTTTGCCCCTTATAATCTCAAATGCAGTGGAAAAAGTGACACAACGTTTGTGGTGAGATAACGATAGCTTCTTTCTGATTCTATCAAAGAGGACGTGATTTACAATTTAGTAAAATGTTTTTATTTACTTTTTTATCAACTTTACATTAAATAAGGACTAAATATAATATGTCGCTCGATTTTGTAAGCATTCTGTATAGTATAGATACTTTGCCCTTGTCTGAGCCCCATTTTAGGGGATTTTATGGGTGACTGTGCGATTGAAAATAGTTTTGAAAAAAATGAAGCCCCAACAGCGGCTTATTATAATTATATCTAAGTAGGACGGGTACTTAATTATAATTACGACGAAGTAAGAGGAGTAAAATAAAAAAAAATTGTGAAAGATTTTGAAAGTGACATTTGGGTCTTGGTCGACGGTGTAAAATGAGATCTGCCATGGCGGGGCCCACGTCAGAGCATTTCGTTTGCACGTCGCATTAGATTCTAACTTTAGAGGTGTTGACTTTCCGCCTTACACGTGGCCATAAAAGATTCTTCGTTACAGGGTTAATCCTTGGATCGGGTTTCTCTCGTTCAATATTTCACAATAAAAATGTTATTTATTTTCAATAGGGATGAATCTCCAATTTATGTGGATGTAAATGATTGGTTAAATGATAGGTAAAATTAAATGACTTATTTAATTTCACCTATCATTTAATACCACATTAACGCTACATAGACTGAGGATGCATCCCCAATGGGGATGAATAACATTTCTCATTTCACAATATTGATTTAAAGTTTATGACCGTTTGGTCCGGATTAAAAATTAATTTTAATTCAAGTTAAAGTCAAAATATCAATATTAATCACTTCTTTCATGGATTCCACAACTTTCGACAACACATTTAAAAAACTTTTATCACAATCTAATAAGTCTCCGTTTGATCTACATTATTATCTCATTAAAATAAAAAATATAACTGTTATCCATCACAATAACATTTAAATTCAAATTTTTTTATCTCTTACGTGAGCCCCAATAACAACTATATTTTTCATTCACATTCTACAATAATTTGGCTCAAACAGAGCCTAAAAATCAAATTTTAATCACCATCAAACACCCTCTAAGTAGTTAAATAAGGGCAGCGGGAATTTAATATTAATGACTTAATACGTTTTTCACATGAAAGTCGAGTTCATTTTTCTTATGGAAATGAAATATTTAATAGGGAAAAATTCATAAGTAAGAGTTTAACTATAACTCATTTCAAAATTAAGATAAAATGTTTTAAATTTTTAAAAGTCAAATATTTAATAAATTTTATTTTTGAAATAATTGATTAAAAATATATTTTGTAAATTAAATATAAAGTTACAATTTTATACAATTTGGTCACAAATTATTGAATTCATTGGTTACAAATAATTTCTCGATCACAATTAAAAATTTTATAGATTACAAATTATTTTATGATAAAAATTTATCAAATTAATAGGTCACATATCATAAATTTTATAAGTTACAACTTATTTCATTGTCACAAACTATTTCATGGTGACAAATAAAAATTTTTATAGGTCACAAAATATTTCACAATGATAAATAAAAAATTTTATATGTCCCAATTTATTTATCAGTCACAAATTATAAAATTTATATATCACAATTTATTTATTGGTCACAAATTACAAATTTTATATGGCACAACTTACAAATTATCATTCACATATTATTTATTAATCACAAATTAAGTAATTTATTGATACAACCAACCAAATATTATTTATTGGTTACGAACACCCTCACCCCACGCCATTTCACCTACAACCACGGCTACTGTAGCCTTCGGCATCACTACCGACCGCTACCACTATCACCACCTCACCACCACAATCAATATCACAACCAGCACTAATTACCCCCAAAACTCGACACCCAAAAGTCTAGATCTTCCCTACATTCTCCACCACTAGCAATGACGTTCAGGCCCAAAACCATTATCGCCCAAATCGGCACCACTATCGCTGCATAAAAACTGCACAACCAGGATCGCGACCACCACCCGCCCACCACCACCAACTGCACACAACCAACAAAACTCATCCCAAATTTTTTGGCACCGGATCGTGACCAAATTTCCCCCTATCGGGACCATCAAATCTTCACAGCAGTTGTGCTGGCCCATCATTCGTCGCTGCAGCTGTGGCATCATTGCTAAGCGCATTGCATAGCAGCAATTGTTTCTGCGTCTCATGTCGACAATGCGATGGCGACGCGTCATCGTAGCGACGGCATATGTGGTTTTATTGGACGAAATGTTCTGATGGTTGGGATAAAGGGATGGAAGAGAGAAATAAGAAGTTAGTTAGAGAGAGGGTATAAGGTAGAGGTAGTTACTAATATTAAAATTTTGAATTAATATCTGATTTTTATATAAACATACTTTAGATCTAATTTTTCAAATTGAATCTTAAAAAATATCTAGTTGGGTGAAATTTCAACTATTTAATAGAGAGTAAAGTAAAGGTAGCAAAACAGGGAGCGCAAATCTAGGTGGGGAGACT